AAGAGAGGCGGCGGCCAGCTGCTGTGGGCTGCTGTGGTCCAAAACATCTGGAGTGCCAGAGGTTTCACCCCACCCACCCCAGGCCGTATGAAATGACGGCAGCATGCTAATATATCAAGATTGATGAGCTTCCAAGGTGCGAACAGACTTACTACTCCATGTCATGATGACTGAGGATGTGGATGTTAGCGCTGCAGCTGTCCTAGCAATAAGGATGGTGATGATGATGTGCCATCAAGCCAATTCTGACTTATGATGGCCCTTTTCAGGGTTTTCTAGATAGAGAATACACAGAAGTGCTTTACCCTTCCCTTCCACTGGGGGCACCCTGGGACTGTGTGCAGCTGGCCCTAGGCCCCCCGGGCTGGGTCTGCTCACAGGAGGCTCAGTGGGGGAGTCGAACTGTCAATCTCTGGCTCCTTCCTTAACCAGCCATCATCCTAGGAACAGAAAGAGGAAATGAAATGAACTTCCAGGATTTAAGTTTCCGGACTTCTGTTTCATTTAAATTTTAGGACTTTTTTGTTTCTCCTTTTCCTGCATTTGGTCCACCTGGAAAAAGAAACAGCGTATGCCATTCACACACCCCTCCAAGCACTGGGTGGTTGTAAAGAATTTCTGGATCTTTGCTTCACAACTGCATGGTCTTGCTATGAAACAGGATATCCAAGTTTATTTTGGTCACTATTAATACCATGTTTCCCTGAAAATAAGACAGGGTCTTAAATTATTTTTTGCTCCAAAAAACACATTAGGGCTTATTTTCAGGGAATATTTTATTTTATAGTCATGTCATCTTCTGGTTGCTGCACAAGGGTGGAGGGCAGGGTTTCACTTAACTAGGGCTTATTTTTGGGGTAGGGCTTATATTACGAGCATCCTGAAAAATCATACTAGGGCTTATTTCCAGGTTATGTCTTATATTTGGGGAAACGGTATAAACCAGCTGCAGAGGGTTCAGGGAAGATGGGGGAGGGGGTGATGAGGCTGAGAAGGAATATTTTGCCTTAAGGCTACCTAGCAAATTCCTGGATCAACTTACCCCCACTCCCCACAGCATGGTTAGGAATGGTACGAGCCGTTTGAGCTCATATTCGAACAACATTAGGTCTGGAAAGAGGGACTTTTGTGAATTGTTGTATTAAGGAATTCCTGAGTCAGAGTTCCATCGTTCAAAAACAGCAGGGTAACTCTTCCACTCTAAGAATCATGTGCGGTCAAGTCAATTCTGACTTAACGGCAACCTTTTTCAAGTTTTTCAAGGTAAAGAATACACAGAAATGCTTTACCCTTCCCTTCCTCTAGGGGGAGCCCTGAGGCTGTGCAGCTGGCCCAAGGCTACCTAGGTTGGCTTTTCTCCCAGGAGGCCCCGTGGGGGAATCGAATTCTCAACCTCTGTCTGAGACCTAAATCACTGAGCTATTCAGCCAGTATATATTATGGGTTAATCCATAATGGTCTCTCTCCATTTTTTTCAATCACATGGAGTGACATTTAGTACAATAAATTGCAAAAGGAATTACATGGATGGCCAATCCTGAGATTATCTCTTAAAATTCAGCTAAAAGGAAAACTCCAAATTGGGGTTTGGGGGGGTTTCCCAACGCTGTTTCTAAAAAGTTGAAACATTTCTTCAAATAAAGAAATCCTGGCTGTGAGAACTTTTAAGCTAAAATAGGCTAAAATTGGGTCCCGCTTTTTCGCTTTCAACCAACCCATCCATCGAAGGGGCACCCCCCCCCGAGAACCCCTCTGGAACAAAATTCAGCCCTTGAACTGAAATAGGTTCTCAACCATTGAAATGAACTTACCCCCTAAGGCTATTTGGACTAAGGCTGGTGTTTTCCAGGTCAGAGAAAGTCAGAAATTCTACAGGTATAGCTTCTTCGTCTGTGTTTATGCCAACAGGAATATTACGTTTTTATTCCTGTCTCCTGTAGCCTGTTGTGTTGCTTACATAAGTAGTCCACATTGCTGCTAAACAGGAGAAAACAAATTTATATAGATATTTTTCACATTTCCTTAAAAAATTGTGTGTTTAGATTACACCATAGAGTTAAGGCAGGAAGCAAAACACATCAAGACGATCACACCATTTTATTAGAAAACAAACAACAACAACACATTATTGCCAGTTTCTCACACAGATCAAGCAACTGTACCTTACAAATTTTGTTCAAAGGGGGGGGAACACCACACTTTCTACAGGTATGCAATTCACAGCTGAGAATTATTAGTGGCACTTATCACCATTACTTGTACAAGCAGCTTCAGATCTTTTTACTAGCAAGACAAGAAACCTCTATGGTGATAATGGATTGATTTGTTTTTTCCTTGAACCCACTGGGTGGACTCCTGGCAAGCAGGAGAAGAAATAACAACTTGATCCATAGGCTCAAATAAACATCCATAACTTGGAAGCACTTCTATGTCTTTGGCCTGCATTCAGGCTTCATTCCGCTTAGCCAACTTATGGACAGAGTTACTCAAGTCTGTCAAAGAATGGGCACAAGCCGGGTGATCCTAAACCATTACAGTGGTGCCTTGCTAGACAGTTACCCCGCATGACTGTTTTTCTGATTTTTGCTAGATGACGATTTGCTTTTCGCTAGACAATGATTTCGCTAGACAGCGATTTCAGTGGAACAGATTATCATCGTCTCACGAGGCACCACTGTATTTGTTGAACAGTCCTGATGAGTTCCGTAGGGTTTTTCCACAACGCAGAGCTTAAAAAATGTTAATTCTTGTTGTTGAAGAAGTAGAACACTTCTAGAACTGTCCAGTCTGGGGAAATTCTAGCAGTTTTTAGTCCAAAAAGAAAATGACATTTTTAACTAGGGTGGCCTCTGTACCAAGGGAGTGGCTGGCCAGAATGGCTTCTCTCATTTTTTCATAAATGTTAGACCTCAGGGTGATCTAATCTAATTGACTCAGCAAGCAGCTCCAGAACGGCCAAAAGGAAGATATGAATTGGTTCCCAATCGCAAGAGGAAACACTGACCATAGGCTTAGAGGGTCTGGGGCTTCAGACATGGTCATGATCTGCCACCACATGCAACAGCTAACTAGAACCTCCATGGACAGAGGCACTGTAGCTCTCACTGGGAAAAACAGAGCAGGGTTCGGCAGCCTGTAGCCCTCTACGCCAGTGGTCCTCAACCTTGGGCCTCCAGATGTTCTTGGACTACAACTCCCAGAAGCCTTCACCACCACCTCTGCTGGCCAGGATTTCTGGGAGTTGAAGTCCAAAAACATCTGGAGGCCCGAGGTTGAGGACCACTGCTCTAGGCACTGCTGGAGTATAGCCACCAGAGTTGTCTGTGCTGCCTAGTTCTCTCTGGAGCTGTAGGACATCATCATCTGGGTCAGTGCTTCCCAATCTTGGGTTCCCAGATGTTCTTGGACTACAACTCCCAGAAATCCAGGCTAGCACCACTAGTAGCAAGGCTACCGGGAGCCTTAGTCCAAAAACATCTGGAATACCCAACGATGGGAACCATTGATCTCAATGACCCTCAGTTGGCCCTCCGACAAGAGAAATCTACCAGCTTCATGCTCCGCAGATGGGCTTCCAAAGGGATGTTGGCCGGTAGAAAGGGAAGCCGGGGCTAATGGGCCACTGGTCTGTTGGCAGTGGGGCCTTACTCTCTTTGAAGCTATCTGTCGGGTAACTAGGATTATGAAGAATGCAATTAAGATCATATCAATGGAATATCCAAAGCATACTTGTTTAGATCTTGGAAATGATTAGCTACAAACTATGAGAGGCTTCTAATTCAGTTCTTTTTCTAACAGGGACAATAAAACTAGCGAACCTCTGTCGGCTCGTAGCAATCAAATATTTTAGAAGTAACTAAAAGGCCACTATTATTCTTATCAAGAAATAGAAATTCCTTTTGTTTGCAATTTGGCATTCTAATCGCGCCGAATTCCTTTGTGGGGAGCTCAGTAGCAATGAACTGTAACGAACGACTACGGAATAAGATACTCGCTTGTACAGCCATTGATGAAGCAAAGGGGCGAAGGCTGGCTTCTCTGAACCACCACCCACGCCTGCTATGGGGCACAGCTGTCTAAAATGGGCAACGTATTAAGTTTCACCAATTTAGTGGAATTAAAACTTGCCAGGAACTTTTAATAACAGAAATGTTTTTCCTTCAAATTAAACATAGATTCAGGGGTGGGGTGGGGTGGGGACAGACTGAAAGGCTCTCTCGGAGAAAAACTGGAGCTAGCCTAATTGCAGGTAGCTTGTATCGGGTTTAGTAAATTGCCCATGTCACAGAGCTAAGGCACACAGGACTGAAGGCACAGCACGTTCTATTTAGCAGGGACTACAACACCCACACGCCTCAACCCTCCTTCCTGATATACTTGGGTGCAATCCTCACCGTCAATGAGAGAGAAATGGACCTTCCTAGAAACAGTACAGTGTTTATAAACTGTATCTGTTGTAATGCTAAGAATTTGAGAGTGGTTTTTCCCCCTTCAACAGGCAATTAAGAGTCGTTCACTTTATAAAAGACCCGCTCCTTATCCATAGAAAAGGACTGATCCAGCAGTCTGCATTTTTTGTCTTTCCTTGGGGGCACGATTGCTGGAAATGTTACGATGAACACCTGCATTTCCACATTTATTTAGATGTGTGTTTGTAGCACACATATAAAATCCCCACTGTAAGCTGGTTTACTTACATCACAAACCACGGCCGCACACACCTTGTGTGTGTGTGTGTGTGTGTGTGTGTGTGTGTGTGTGTGTGTGTGTGTGTGTGTGTGTGTTGTGTGTGTGTGTGTGTGTGTGTGTGTGTGTGTGTGTGTGTGTGTTTGTAACAGTAGGCCAGCAAAGTGGGGAAAAACCCTGCAAACTCATAAACCCGTTGTGCATCTACGCAAATATTTCAATGGCCAAGCAACTTTTGACTCCTGTGCTTTATAAATAGTTGCAAGATGGGTGGAAAAAGAATCAGTTCTCATCATAGAAAAGCAGTGGTTGACAATATTTCACCTGTTAAAAGCTAAGGATTTCCATAAAACTGTCGGCCAACTTCGTAAGTTGGCCAGTGGTCAAAAATGATCTACTAATTCTAGACATTAGTGCAAATGGAGACAATTTTGGAAAAAAAAAAACCAGCAAACTGGTGGTAAAATATATACATGTCATAAGCAAAATACCTAAAAGGCTCATCCATCCGGGTGATCCTTCCTTCCTCTCCGTTCAACGTATTTTCAGAGTTTCCCGGAAAGTCCACCCTTCTGCCGCAAATATCTTTTAACAATCGTGTCATACGGGGTGCTTGTAGATGATTGCTGTGCTCAAACATGGAAAGGTGGCTAAATAAATAAGGCTGTGATCTTGGGTGGCTCTCCTTGAGAGGAGATACTTTCTAGGGTCTACGTCCAAGTAAGCATTCACTTTAGCAGGGCGCAGGATCCCTGTTTCCTTACACTTCCTTCTGAACAGCAGAATCAAAAAACATACCTGCTCAAAAGAAGTCACAGGATATACCGCCGGGTAAATCAGGCAAATTTGCACAAAGGGTGAAACCATGAACAGAAGCCTGATACTGAGAGAAAAAGGTGCCCATTGCTCAATTCATATATAGTAGGACCCCTGAATCCATGGGGGATTGGTTCCAAGCCTCCCCACAGATGCTGAAAAACACGGATTATCGTGAATGCTATTTTAATAGTGCTATCATTATCACTGGCCGTCAGAGGAAGCCAGAGATCACGCTAGACACAGCATGACCTCTGGCTCCCTCTGGCGGCCAGTTCTGGTAACTTCACCATTAAAAACATATTTCTGGGATTTTTCTTTCAACATTTTCACACCATGAATAAAGGAATCAGTGGATACTGATCCCGCGGATAAGGGGGTCCTACTGTAATTAATAGAGGTTAAAATCCAGCTTTTCATAGGGAATCTGGGATGCTCGTATCCTTTTTTTCTAATTGCTGCCCTAATTAGAAATACAACTGAACCGTCTCTATTCTACGGCTTCATGTCTCCATTAACAGCAATACCAGGTTCACGCTAAGCCCACATCTTCAGAAATCCTGGCTCACTGCTACGTACTGCATCCCATTAAAAAGCAACGTACACAATAGGTTCCTGAAACAGCTGCGGTAGAGACAGGGTATACCTGAGCGTACTGTTACCACAGACAATCACAGAGCTTCTAAAAAGGGTAGTTTCTGCACCGTGGAGCACAGGTTGATTAAACTACCGGGTTTTGATCAAGATCAAGGAAGACACCGCTAAGGATCTGGATTTGGGTCCCGCTTCACATCTGCCTGAGAGTGGGCTTCCAGTCAAAGGAGACTCACTGAGTGCCTGGACCAGAGGCCATGCTGGTTGGTGCATGCTGGGACATGTAGTCCCCAAAAGTAACACCTCCCATCTTTAGTTTGGATCTTTATCAATCAGCATTACGTACATTCCACATACAAAATACTGTTCCTTGTGGTCTGACAAAAGGCCTGAGTTTTTACCAGGTTAGAAGGAAAGCTCACAAAGAACATGACCCACACAGGGCTCGCTGTTTTTCCAAGTATCTCCCTCTCCTTCCACCCTTGGTATCCCCTTCCAGGAACGAGGCTCCTTTCCTGGAAAGAAGGCAGGGCAATGTTTTCTAAAAGGGCCACAGTGGTACAAGGGAGGGCAGCTGAAACCCTGGCATGCCTCCACTCTTTGTTGCTCAAGTCATAGGAGGAGGAGACCTGTAGAGGTCATCTAGACCAGTGGTTCTCCAACTGGGCTCCCCAAGATGCTCTTGGACTAAAACTCCCAGCAGCCTCCACCGCTTGCTGTGCTGGCCAGGATTTCTGGGAGTTGTAGTCCAAGAACATCTGGGGACCTCTGATCTAGAGGAACCTCCCAAAGCAAGGCAGACCTGCTTCCCTCTACAGGCAAGACCAGAGGCCTATGGGGCACAATGCAGTTCAGCGCTATTCCAAGGACGCCAGTGAGCAAACCAAACCCCTGACCCCACATATACACAGGCTGGAAGTTTTACTTTGGGGCAGCCCACTCTCCAAACCCACCACCACCAGCGTGGCAGATTCTGAAAGCCGCCATCTGCAAAATTTATTTCTCTTAAGCTCTGCACATGTGCACAAACTCTCTCTCTCCCTCTCTCTCTCTCACACACACAGACACAAAGAGAGAGAAAGAGAAGCACCAGCCTTACTGGGTTTCAACCAAATCTGGCAATGGGGCCTCTGCTTCACTCTATCCAAAGTGAAGCCACTCAAATACAACAGCCTGCATTGACAGCAGGCTAGTTTTATTTTTTTTCTCCCATAGGAAGGCCTCTGTTTGATGTAAAGGAAGCCGTTCCCCTGAACGTCCCCATTTTAATCAAGGCACCGAGGTGGGTTGCAACTGTCATACAATTTTGCCAAGGCAACCGGCTGGTAAGAAGGCTGGATGGAAGCCCACAGGGGCCCCGGGGGCCCCAGAGTCCGTGGTCCGATCCGACGTCCTGCTCAAGTCCCCCCTCGTGGCCGTGGCCGTCCCAACCTCCTGAGAAGGTCCAAGCTGGCAGAGAGAGGCTCGCCCACCGGATCTCTCCAGATCAGGGTCTCAGGCTTTCAAAGGCAAGCATCAGCGCGCCGCACATGGTCACACGTCCGAGGTCCGGATGCTCTCATCATCCAGGTCAAAGGGGAAAGGGTGCTCCCTGAAGCTTTGGGGCTCGGAGCGGTGCCGTAAACGCCGGACCTGCCCTCCTCCGGCGTCTTGCTCCGACAGTGCAGGTGCAAACTCCAAGTCCTTCACTCGAGCACCCTTCTCTTCCGGCGCAGGCTGCTTGGCTTCCGACGGGGGTACAGGGACCCACGGCAGCCAGCAGGAGGTGGCGGGTCCTTTGCCGGCGGCCTTCGCCCCCTCCACCTGTTGCTTCAGCCGTGTGACGGCAGAGGTGGCCGAGGAGGGGCCGCCGTGTTTGTTCACGGAGGCGGATCTCACCAAGGAAATTTCCTGGAATGACAGGAAAACAGGGGAAGACCCGTTGAGGTTCTGAGAAAAGTCGCTGTCAAATAATTCCCTATCAATTATCACCCCAGGTAGCTGTTCCGCAGACATCGGGGATGGCTCATCGTAAAGCTGACAGGGACTACATTGATTTGTTTGAAATGTCGTGCTGGAGGAGAGCTTTGCACATGCGATGGACCACCAGAAAGACAAACAAGGGGGTCCTAGATCCAAATCCAGCCTGAACCATCTCTGGGGTCAAAAATGTTGAAAGTGCGGCTGCCCTGCTTTGAGCCCATCCTGAGAAGGCAGGATTCTCCAGGAAAAAAAACACAATCATGCTGGGAAAGGTGGAAGGCAGCGGGAAAAGAGGAGGACAAAATGCAAGATGGGTTGACTCCCAAAGGGAGCCACAGGTGTGGGTTTGCAAGAGTACAGGATATTTTGGACATCGCTCATTCATAGGGTCGCCCTAAGTCAGAGGGGACTTGATGACACATAACCCCAATTTCTAACTAACTTCTCCCATTTTCTTAAAAATAAGGCACAGAAGACACCTTTCATACAGGCTACTATTGAGGCATAGCTTTTGCTTTGATGATTTGAACAGGACATGCCTTCGCCAAGGCATTTTGCCTACAGAATTTATTTCTTTGGGCAAACCCAAAGGGGGGGGGGATCGATACGTGTAAGAAGTTTGCAAAGAGTTCGCAGCCCTTTGATGTGAGCTTAGACAGCCAGGCCCTCGAATTATGCTGAATGCGCCCCTTTTTTCCCCAGGAAAAGCTACACAGAACTCGATAGAGTTTGGCCAAGATTTTTTTCGCACAGCTGTCGGGAGGTGCAGACAGCTCCATGGCCTCGGCCACATCCCGTCTCGGACGGTCCCCAGTCTTCCCTGCTGTCCTTTCTTGATCTTACGTCGGAGGAGGAATCCGAGACCGGAAAACCCACCTTCTGGAAATGAGCTAGTCCTCACATGTTTGCTCAAGATATTAAAACAGATGACGTCCCCTTAAGAAAACAAACAAAACCTTAATTGATGCGGCGCAAGGAGCAAAAACGGATGTGACTTACCCTCGGGCAGCTTTTTAGCGCCTGCACCGCCCTCGTGATCTCCTTGATCCAGCTGTGCATGTCCTCAGCTCAGTAGGCCTGGGGGGGGGGGAAGAATTCACAGAAGAGACCAGTTTAAAAAACCAAACCCAAACAACGGGGGGGGGGGGGGGGCACGGTGCGAAGCTACCTTGGAAAACTAACCAGGCCCTACGTTTTATGGTCTCTGTCTTGTTGATTGATGTTTGATGTTTAAATGCGTTTATGGTTTGCTTCTTATTATTGCTATGGAGCCAGAGGTTGGGGGTTCAATTCCCCCACTGGGCCTCCTTGACAGGGGCTGGACTAGATGATCCACAGGGTCCCTTCCAGCTCTGCAATTCTAGATAATAAATAACCTTTGAAGTGCAGAGCCGGAAACATCGAGCCCAGCCCGGTCAAGAAGGCACCGTCAGGGAATTGAACTCCCAACCCGCTGGCTCCACAGCCAGAGACCTAAGCCACTGCGCTATCCAGGGGTTCCAGAAGATGGTGGCATGTTGGACTGTGTGTAGAAGGAAAAACAGAAGGCCCTTCCATCTTCACGTCTCCCTTTCTGAGATCAGGGAGGATTCCAGATGATGGTCCCGCCTGCCTCAAGCTTAGCCACAGATGCTCAGGATCTCAGCCATCAGCCCTGGCGACCAGACTGCTCTTCCTGGATTAGCTCTCGTAAACCTTCTCTCCACCTGCCCAAGCTGAAGGGGAAAGCGTGAGGCAGTGCTGATCACCAGGGACAAAACCCGATCCAGAGGTGGGCCATACCATTATCGAGAGGAAGTGAGGATGCGCAGTGTATTGTCGAGAAGGGCCTCGGTGTAAACAGCATCTGTAGGCAAACTTCCACCGGAGGACAGAAGTGAGAGCCATTTATTTCCGCTCTCCTCCTTCCCCAAAAGCAACGAATCCCCAAGGGCTTTTAGCAAAAATACAGCTTTCTGAGAAATGGACCCTGCACCCATCTGGATGGACCGCATCCTGTGACTAAAAGTTGGCAATCCCGTGTCCAAATTCTGCTGAAGTCAACGGGGCTCACCCCCACAGAGCTAATAGCAGGACCACGCCTTAGAGAGTCTGGAAAAGGAAACTTTTCATCATGTTGACAACGTATAAGAGCAAGGCGCGAGCCAAACAGCAAGTGACAGAGGACGCACTGGCTGTGGCCCCGAGGAACTGATCCAAAGAAGCAGGGGCAAGTAGTGGTTAGAGCAGCCTCCCTCCCACTTCTCATCTGCTGCCCTCCAAAGGACAGACAGCCACCGTTATTCTCAGCAAACACCTCTACGCCCATATGGGGGGAAAAACCATTCGTGGCTATGCACATTCAGATGACAAGAACTGACAAGGTACGGTAGAGGGGACCCTATAGATCATCAAGTCCAGACCCTATCAAGATGGCGCAGTGGGGAATCGAACTCCCAGACTCTGGGCTCCGTAGCCAGACACTCAAACCATTGAACTATTCAGCAGTTCCCCATTCAGCTATGCAGTTTTTTGGGGGGGGCTCAGACATTAGTTCAGCTTAAATTACTTTGTAGGGTTGTTCTGAGTGTATCCTGGGTTGGAGGGAGGGTACTGAAGCCACCCGTATCACTGTGAGACTGTCATCCTGCACCCACCTCATTCTCACAACAACCCTGTGAAGTTGGCTAGACTGAGACCACGTGCTCACTTGGAGAGATTCGCGGTTGGGTGAAGATTTGACCAATCTTGGAAAAGTGACTTTGTACAAATTATTATTCCACTTTTGCTGGGTGATTCCGGGAATTGTTGTCCAGACAAATAAGTTTTCTGGGCCACAGGACATGAAACTACTGCCCCTGGATCATGATCTGACCCTGTAATCAAGGGTGGGTAGGCAGAAGACCGCTCTGAATCTAAGAGCAAGCCTCTGGGTGAGCGTCAGTGGAATAAGGAGCATGTCTGGTTTTCGATTATTCAATAACAGCACCCACAAAAATGTCCCCTGATTTCTTCCCACTGTGCTCAAAATGGCACTCCTAAAACAAATAAGCAGGTTTTGGCTCAGGAAAATGGTCACCTCTGTTTAGTTTGGGTTTTCGTTCAAATCAATATCCTGGGATCAGAATGGTTCAATTCTGAGTATATAGTCAAACCCCGATATCTGTGGTTGATCAGTTCCAACCCCTGGACCCCAATGCAGATGCTGAAAAACTTGGATTATATAGCAAATAGTACTATAATGGTGAACATTACACATAGCATGGTCTCTAGCTCTCTTTAGGGGTCAGTTCTGATAATAACATTGTAGAAATATATTTCTCTAATGACCACTATATATAGCATGGTCTCTAGCTTTTCTCTCTAGCGGTCAGTTGTGGAAACTCTGTTGTTAGAAATATATATTTTGGAGATTTTTCTTTTAATATTTTTAGACTGTGGATAAGTGAATCAGTAGATACTGATACCACGGATAAGGGGGTCATACTGTATTTCCTTTACATTAGGCTTTCGTTTGGAATTTTGGACTTTTAGTAAAAAAACAACAACCAAGCTGAAGTGCTCATCCACCACTTCCCTCTGAGGCCAAAGTGAAGGCAGGTATCCACGGTGACTCTAAGGGTGTGATCAGAAACAGATCCAGTGCCATCTATTTCCCAGTGATCACGTTGTTGTTTAGTCGTTAAGTTGCATCCGACTCTTTGTGACCCCATGGACCGGAGCACGCCAGGCCCTCCTGTCTTCCACTGCCTCCTGGAGCTTGGTCAAATTCATGCTGGTAGCTTCTGTGGTAGCTCTCGTCCTCTGTCGTCCCCTTCTCCTCTTGCCTTCACACTTTCCCAACATCAGGGTCTTTTCCAGGGAGTCTTCTCTTCTCATGAGATGGCCAAAGTATTGGAGCCTCAGCTTCAGGATCTGTCCTTCCAGTGAGGACTCAGGGTTGATTTCCTTCAAAATGGATAGGTTTGTTCAGGGGACTCTCAAGACTCTCCTAGTGATCACAAGACATGTGGGGAAATGCGCACCAGCCCGACCCCGGTCTGTGGCCAAGCTGGGCCTTTCTGACCCATCATTAGGGCTTCAACTTTTGAGGGCTGGGCTGGTGTGATTCTCCACCAGACAGAAGGGTTGCTTTGATGGTGATCTCTCCCGACAAAGGGACGTTTTCCGTCGCCATCAGGAGCGCACCTTTACAGCCACCTGATTGCATTCTTAGTTTGGACAAGCACTGTGTTGAAGCAGGCCAGAAAAAACTCAAGTCTGTCAGAAGACGCATAAGAGACAAGACAGGTATTAACGCATGCCGATGGTCTACGCAGCCCCACTTGCTCTGAATGGAAGAGGCTCTCCAGAGACTCCGTTTTAATGCATGATTCTGGGGTCTGGACAGGATTACAACTCCCATAATTCTCTCCATGGGAACGGCACACATTTATTGGAAGGTGTGGTCCAAAAATGAACTTCTTAAACTCCTCAACTCTTCGTAGCTAAACACATCACCCATTATTAAGCCATCAACACTCCACCATGAGCCCGTGGTACACCGCAATGCACACGAGCTGACCCCGCAGCTCCCTGCGAGAGATAAACTAAAGACAGCCGAGCGTGATTCCTGAGCAGGTGTTGGAAACAACAATCTGTTTTTGCAATAAGCCATCAACGCTCCACCATGAGCCGGCAGTACACCGCAATGCACACGAGCTGACCCCGCAGCTCCCTGTGACAGAGAAACTAAACACAGCCGAGCGTGATTCCTGAGCAGGTGTTGGAAACAACAATCTGTTTTTGCAAACAACCGCATTACTCTGCCCTCTTATTTCTGATCTTCTCTCCTTTGGAAGCCCTAGGGAGTAGGGTGTGAGCTGTATTGAAACAAGTTTTAAAAATATCCCCACCTCTATCCCCACCTCAGCCATTGTGGTCCAATTCCCTACTTAGAGGCAGCTGGGCCCAGTGTGAACATTTAAGAGTGTCTCCCAAGATCTCAGCCTCTCCAGCTTTATTGATAACTCTGTCCCAGCCATCCCTAACCCCGGACCATTTTGATATGATGAATTACAGCTCCCATCATCCCCAGCCAATAGGGTCAGGGCAGGGAATGACAGCAGCCATCATCCGTATGTAGTTTGGGGAAGGATATATTGGGGGGTGGGGTTGCTGCTCCCACTCCTCTGGACCAATATCATTCTGTCTGAGGCTGATAGGACTTGTAGTTTTAACACCTGGGAAGGTGTCAGTATCTTCCCAAAGGGAGCATCTTTGTTACTCTTTCCTCATTCTTACAATTCTTCTGCACCTGTTCATAACATCCGTCACCATGACAAAACAATGCATTCGCACGGCAGCGGAAGCAGGCTGGCCATGGTACGCTGGTCTCCCCGAGGCCCACATGGATGAGTCTCACCTCATTCACCCTTTCTGCTTGAATGACTGACAGCAGCGCTTCCTGTTTTACCATGGCATGAACTGTCAAGAGCTAAATTTACTGCCTAGAAAAATAAGCCCAAGGCTAGCCTTCCCTGCAAGGAATCAGTTCTTCAAAGGGCATGATATGTATACCAACGGCAACCTGGAAATCATTGCTACAGGGAACTCTTATCTGGACACAAACCTGTTAGTCCATGAGTCAAATGTCTGGCAGAGGATCCCGCTGGATCTTCTAGGACAGACATTTAGATCCTGGCTGCTTGACCGCGGCAGCTGTAGGTAAGCTAGGCTACTAGCTACATACCAGCTAAGCTGCCGGGGTTTTATCCTGCAGTTGCTTGCCTACAACTGATAGCATTTGCTGGGTTATCTAGGCTAGAGATTCCCACCTCTCACCAGTTCAGTATCAACTCAGGTTTTCATTTTTTCCACTGCTAAGCTCATCCTATTCCAGTTTAAATCACACAGTAAGCGTTTTTCATACACTAAAAAGATATTCATATATTCTGCACTGTACACAGATCTTTCCAATGATGAATGCACGTTTGCATAGTTATCATTATCATGTGCCACCAAATTGATTCCGACTGATCGAGACAGGTTTCAAGTTTTTCTAGGTAGTGAGTACTCAGAAGTGGTTTCCCATTCCCTTCCTCTAGGGGGTGCCCTGGGACTGTGCAGCTTGCCCAAGGCTACCCAGGCAGGCTTTTCTCCCTGGAGGCACAAGTGGGGAATCGAACTCCCAACCTCTGGCTCTGTGACCACATGCCTAACTCACTAAGCTCAAATCCTTCCCTATTTTCTCCTAATTCTTTTCCGCCACATTGTTAAAACCACTTTCTCTCTTTTGCAAAACACATAACTGAAAAAAAATTGACCAAAAATTGCACAGGAGTCCGCAGTTTTTTTTTTTTTTTAGAAAGGTGCAAATTTGATCATTCCACCCTGAAAGCATGAAACCAACCAATTTCTCCTTTTCCATTTGGAATTCTTCCATGTTTTCCTTCTGCTTCCTCCATCTTTTTCCCCACCCACAAGAGAAAACTGCAAAGGGGGTATAAAAACCACAGTAAGTGCCTGACACTTGCTATCTGGTAGCAACAGGAGAAGCTGCTGGCTTGAAAACACCCTGACTCTCCCTAAGAGGCAGGAAAAGAAAAGAACTGAGATTCACAGAATCCTTGGCCATCTTTCTCCATCCCTGATTTATCCACGCTCACTTTGGGAGTCCTACATTAAGTAGCTGCCTGCAAAGACTTTTGAGGTTTCAGCTACCTCCTGAAGCATAAAGAGTATAAAGAAAAAAAGAATCAATAAACAGCAGCCTGCGGTTCTATAACTCAAGAGTTCTCTTCACCAGTCCTCAGGTGGGTTACCTGTGAGGTCGTCCTGGACAACATCTGCTGGTGCGGAACATGTATAGTTCATGGAATCATAGAGTCGGAAGGGGCCTCTAAGGCCATGGCGTCCAACCCCCTGCAAGGAATCTCAATCAAAGCACATTTGACAGAGGGTGGTCCACTTTTCTCTTGAAGGCCTCCAGCGTTGGAACCGTGACCACCTCCCAGGTTCATAGGTTCCATTGTCGTACTGCTCTAACACTTAAGACGTTTTTCCTGATATTCAGCCTAAATCTGGCTTCCTGTAGCTTGAGCCCCTTATTACGTTGAACCCATAATCTGATCTGCATGGTCCTCCCTCCCTCCAGTGCTTCCCCCCGAGCCAACCTACACACCACTAAAAGTTGCACTGGATTGCCATGGCTGATCTCCTCTCTGATGAATCACAGAATCTGGGCATCTTACTTGTGAGGGTACCAATTCCCAGAAACCTGCCTCCACCCTCAGCCACCACAGCCATATTTCCAAGCTCTTTGGTGGGGGGAGGGAACAGAGTGGGTCCCGAAGAACCTGTCTCTTCGACCCAAGTTCCCAGCATGCAGTTAGGAAGCCATTTTTTCCCCACAGGGTAGACGTTTTACCTGGATGTAGAAAGTCCTGTAGGTTGTGGTGATTTCAAAGAGATTGTCCCGCATTAGAAGGTCACTAGAAAGGCAGAAAGAAACAGTTAATGTGCAACTTATCACACACGTGATGTTGGGAACATTTCTCCTCTTGATGACTTTTGTAAACTAAGGGTGCAACCACAAGGTCAAAAACAGCACAATTTGCTCCAGGTATAAAACAGATGGGATTCAATTTTTAAAAAACTGATCCCATAATGCAATGGCCAATTCGAATTGGTATGGCACTTTTTGCTCCCAAAGTGAGGGTTTTTTTCTCTGCTGCTGGAGGCTTCTATTTTTTTACAAGCTGAAACAAATTGAATGGATCCCTCCCCCCCATGCAATCAGTTGTTTTGTTCTGCAAGAGTATGGGGACGGCATGTCTGTGGGTCTTGCTGTGGCAATGTAGGGGCATGATGTTTAAGGACTGCAGGAACATCCTCACCCGCAATCTGTCACCCGAGTGTCCCTGAATATTGTGGGGTTTTTTATGACCAAGTCTAGCGCTAAGTCACTACACCAATACACTGACATACTAGTTTAGCGCTAGATCACCTCAGCATAGATTTTTTCAAAATAATTGCTACAAAATACAGAAGACGACGACACGCGTTTCTGCAGTCTATTTGTTCTCATCCCCATCAATCACATGACATGCTCAAAAAGAAAAAATGTGACTGATTTTGTTCTTCAGCACGGGCAAAAAGTTTTGTATAGACCTTCGCTGCCAACACCCAAGGTTAATTCTAGTTAAAGAGAAAGAAAATCCATACCCAGATTTGACTAGACATTCGTGAGTCTTCAACACATCTTTCAGAAGGATAGTTCGCAAGGGCTCCTTATCCTGAAGAAACAAGCAGAACAGAGGCTAGAATAAGTGGCCAGTCATAAAACAGAGGCTACACTGGTCCAAAAGTTGACATAAATCCTGGTCCAATCACCTGGTAGATCAGTTGAGTGGACAGACCGTCACAAGCTTCTTTGCCATTCAAAAGTTTGTTCCCCTGCCCAAAGAAATAAACCTGCAGAACACCCTCAGGACATATCCCCCGCCAAAAACAGCCAAGTCTTCTGGGGCCCTCCAGAACACTGTGTTTTGGGGGTGTTTTTGGTAGGTCCTGGGGGTGTTCTATCCATTCTGTCTTCTGGGGAGTTTGGATCTTCTTCTGATGGAGACTCCTTCCCTCCAGAAGAAAGGGTTGAAGGGGTTTCTTATCAGAATCAGAGCTCCTTCATCCCAATCTCCAAGCTAATCTTAGCTGGATAACAGACTCTGGCTTCCTTGTGTGTCATCACCTGATGAACAACCTGGAATGACTTGACCTGTTGTGTTCTGTTTCTTGTACTCAGTTTTCAGCCTACTCCTTGCTCTCCTTTGTTTATGACCACTGTAGGCGACGTGACCTCAGCATGGCTTCCAAACTCTCCTTTTGGTGACTTCTCAACCTGCTTTGGGACTCCACGCGAGGCCCTCTGGGACTGCCTGACACCATGCCTGACACTTGCTCTCTGAACCAAGACACTCTTCTCTGGACATCAAAGTATTCTTACCCAAAGCTCCAACTTCTGTTTCTATTTACACACTTATACCACACACACCTTTAATTGCATTATGTGCATAGAATCTGTGTAAATACAGTGGTGCCTCGCTTAGCGATCGTTCCGTTGAGCGATGAAATCGCTTAGCGATGGGGTTTTGGCCATCACCAGAGCGATCGCTTAGCGATGGCCCCTATGGGGAAAAATCGCTTTGCGATGATCGCAGGGAAGCAATCACCGCAAAGCCCCCATTTTTGGCCAGCTGATTGGCGGTTTCAAAATGGCCGCCAGAAAACAAAATGGCCATCTGCTGTGTTGCCTCGCTTTAGAGGCACCAAAAATGGCCTCCGCAATGGAGGATCTTCGCATAAGGTTAGTTTTAAAGCCCATAGGAACACATTAAACAAGTTTTAATGTGTTTCTATGGGCTTTTAAAAATAGCTTAGCGATTAAATCGCTTAGCAACATTTTTTCCGGAACGGATTAACGTTGCTAAGCGATGCACCACTGGCAATCTTCAAAAAATCTGCTAGCCTTTCCAGACTATTTACTTGCCATATACCTAACAAAAGTTTTGACTGGCACCGTTGCCCTTCACCTTTAAAAATTTTTAAGCAATCTCTCTGGCCCTCTTCATCTCACTTGTCACATCCAACTCCTTCACATTATTAATGTAGCAAATGCACCTGGTTGTCCAAAAGGGGATTAATTAATTTCACTTCTTTTTTGTAGGTTGCAGTACCATCTTCAGCCACTATGTGGCAGGCTTGACTACTAAGGAGAGAGTAAACTGTAGCCCAGCCCAGCATATTTATTCTGCCGGAAGGCCTGTAGGCAGCTCTCCATGAGCCAAATGCTCTGCAGGGCCCCAAACTATTTAAAAAGTTGAGAAAGAGTCAGAAAGAGATGGCCCTGCTGTCTTGATAGGAACGGAAGGCAAGCAAACCAAGAGAAGGGTTTGACCACCATCAGGCTAGAGGCAGAGAAAGGGCAGAAACACATATTGCAAGTAATTCATCATGATGGCTGAGACCATGTTAATATTACAGAGACCCAACTCTGACAGACTTATATCTGAAAAATCAGACTTCAAAGAATCACACCCTTATGTTCCTGGTGACCAATCACAAAAACAAAGCAAGCTAATTTGCTAATTCCAGCAAGCAAAAGAAGCTGGGGTTGTGACAATCACACATGATAAGCAATTAAGGGATTTCCTCTTCTAATGACTGGTCATCTATAACATCTGTTTCTGCTGATGAATACAAAAGAAAAGGGGGGGGAATAGGGAGAGAAAGGACATCGTAGGACTAAGGATTTTATAATCCTGGTAACGCTGGACACTTTTTCTAGCCTACAATAAGAACAAGAACAATACTTTACTTAATAGAAAAACTAGCCTTTGCCCTCAAGAAGTGGGATTCTCTCTAGTCGCTCATAGGACATGAATCTGGATGAGAGCAAACAAACTTTCTATAACTGATTGCAGGACCAGTTACCTGTTCACATTTGAAGTAACTGATGGAAAAGTCATCCAGGGTGAAGTACCGGCGTTTCCAACTCTTTCTCTGAAAGACCAGAAACAACGCTTTTAGAACCTCATACTCTGCTGAATTCATGAAATTAATCGGGAATCCACTGCCACACGGCTGCTCTTTTTCTCTCCATCCCAAGAGCTAAATAAGGACAATTGGTTTCTCAGTCTGTGTGTCTCATAGTTAAGTAGAGCCCCCATGTTTAGAGGCAGTATACCTCTCCATGCCTGATGCTGAAGACAGATAGGAAGGAGCCACTGAACTGACTATCAACTAATGGAAAGGGAGAGAGGATTCAGACAGTCTAGATCACTGGTTCTTAACCTTTGTTACTCAGATGGTTTTGGACTGCAACTCCCAGAAGCCTTCACCATCAGCTCTGCTGGTTGAACTGACTACCAATTAATGGAAAGGGAGAGAGGGTTCAGACAGTCTAGATGACCTTACTCTAACAGCATCAAGCTTTGTTGGACTACGACTCCCAGAATCCCCCAACCTAGTGATAGGGTCTGACGCCAGGGGCTTTAAGAAGAGATTAGACGCATTCAAAGGCTACCCTATACTAGCTGACATACCAGAGTCAGATGCCTCTCAGTGCCAGTTCTTGGGGAATTCAGGCAGGTGGGTGCTGTGGCACTTAAGTTCCACCCCTGAGCATCTGTGCTGTCATTATAGTCTGCATCAGCCTTTCTCCAAGGGAGCCAAGGCCGGCTCTGCTATTAGAGCGAAGCAATGGCCCTGAGTCCTACCTGGTGGAAGCAAGGGAGCCAAGGCCGGCTCTGCTATTAGACAGAGCGATGCAATGGCCCTGAGTCCTACCTGGTGGAAGCAAGACCTTTCCAGTTGTTTCCTCGTTTCTCACACTCACTTCCCTGGACCCTCAGCACTTGCCCAACACTTCTGTTCTGGTGGAGGATGCTGTCCCCCTCACCAGTGTGGAAGTTAAGAGTCAACTTCTTTATAGAGACGGTGGATGAGGCAGAGTCTTGTCCCTCACCTCAGGCAGCAAAATACCTTAAGGCCTGCCCTGAATCTAGTGCTAACTTCTAATGCTCTCCTATCGGAGAAGTAGTCTCATGGCACAGAAAGCAAATCCACCCCCCTCTCTCCTCTTTTCAGAATCCTTAGTTCCATGCCCCCGCCATAGCTTCGGGGGAAAGAGCACCTTTTTTGTGCACAGAAGGTTCCAGTTTCAGTCTCTGGCCTCTTCCTTTGAAAGACCTTCTCTTGAGCGGGATTAGGCCAGTTGGAGGCTGGCAACTCCAATTTCATAGGCTGGTGAATCCACTCCAGCTTTTAGTTCAAACTGTGAAGGACTGACCACCCAGAATCCTGAATCTATTTTAGGGACTGGGTTCAGCACCCTGGACAGAGACTGTAAAAGTCAGAGTGGATTCTCATCCACACCACATGGCAGTCACCAGCCTTCCTCCTGATCCCATTATTCTAATTAGACCGAGGCCATTGACTTGAAGTGTCAGTTGCAGAAAATTAGCTATTGTGTCTCGTCATTTTCTTATTATCATAATTATTACCACCACCAAGGACATGATCATTCCGGGGAGGAACTTGTGAGGTTTTCTGTTCTGGGTACAGACAGAACTTGACCTGATCAAGGTGCTTTATACCTTGACTCAGGAAATGGGATCGTATGCTGCTAAGCTCAAGATGTTTTGGGCCACCTTCACCCTCTCATGCAACAGGATCACAACCACGGCCCAGGTCATGCTGGAGTTATTGCAACCTCGCAAGCTGCCTCTAGTAGGTGTGGCTGGGAGGGGCGTTTCTGTGCTGAGGTGGCTGTCAATCACTAACAGCACTAACCAACCATTTCTTCCCTGCCTCTAATTCAAAGACAGCCCCGCCTCTCAGCTCGGCTTCTCTTTTGTCTGTTGGGAGTCAGTTAGTCTGTTGGAAGCAGGGGGGGTCTGTCGAGGCCTGTTCCTGAAAAGCAGTCGTGTTTATTCTTAGTTTGCTGTTTGATGTGTTCAATTGTAAGCAAATGAAAACTTTTTATGCTTTCTCAAACTCATGCCTCAGGGTGAGACTGAAAGCGCCAATGGGTGAGAATAGAAAAGAAAAGGAAAGTGGCCTAATTTGGAAGACTTGAAGCTAATTCCGCTCTGTAAATCCCTGCACTTCTGCTGCGCAGTTAAAGGCATTAAACCAGAAATTTAAAACTCTGCAACAGTTCAGTCACTTCCTTTGAGTCCAACTGAGCAATTTTTTTCTGCAGCAGAAGCGCAGAAAGAGCACACCATGTCTTGATATTGTGTGAGAACATCATCACTAGAAAAACAGGCCAGGGTGGACACTTACCACGTTTCCCTGCTTTACGCAGTAGCCGCTCTTGAGGACTGGTGGTCCGGTGGGTGTTTTAGTACTGGGGATGTAACTCTGGGACCTTCTCAAAAGGGGGTGGCCAGCGACCTCACTGCCTTCAGAGTTGTCCCCTCCATTCTGGAAAAAAGAGAGTGTATTTTTAAAAAAAGGAGAAATAAAAATCAATCAAACCACAGAATCAAAAACAAGTAAGAAACACTAGAAAAAAATGTGTAAGCACTGTGCTGTAAGATAAACAGGAGTATAGAGAGAGAGACTCTTGCAGAGTGCAGGCAGCATATAAGTCAAATGGATAAATAAATAAATACATAAATATAAATTGCATCCAGAATGTGTTGGAGTTTTTTGCAAACTCATTTGCTGTCTCTAGCACCCATGTCTGTGAGGGACCTTTCTGGGAAGGGGTGACTGTCAATCACTAACAGCACTAAACAATACTTCCTTTCTTGCCCGTGATTCAAAGACAGCCCAGTCTCTCTGCTTTGCCTTTCCCCCCCTTAGTCTCTTTGAAGCAAATAATCTGTTGAGACCTATTGTTGCAAGCAGTCATGTATATCAGTTTTGCTGTTTGATCTGTTCAACGGTAAGCAAAAGAATACATTTAATTCTTTCTCCAACTCATGTCTCAGAATGAGATATTGAGACCATAAGCGCCAGCTGATTTTAAAAAAGGGAGGTGGATTATTTTGGGGAACTTGGAGCTAATTCTGCTCTATGAATCCCTGCATGTGTGCTGTGCAGATACAGGAATTTAACCAGAGATTCAAAACTCTGCAACAGTTTGATGGTTCCCAGACTGAATAAACCGCTGCTCTTCTTTTGTAAGCTACTATCAGGAAATGTTTGGTTTGTGATGATGATGATTTCCATTCATACCAATGAAATGAGCATACTGTTTCAGTTTTTTTTAGCAGGAGTGATTTTGAGCTAGATAAGGACCAGAGGTGGATATATACCAGAGTATCAAAGTGTTTCTACAACCTGTGTAATTCCTCAGCTGAACTTGTAATTGTCTTTCAATTCATGCTAAAAGATTCTCTTCTCTCCCTCTCTAATAAGACATAATGGGCCATTATGTTGATTTTCACACCTGCCAAAGGTGGATCCTGTTGCTTTTGTAAATCAAACTACTCTGAAAAAGGCAGGAAGTGGTCACATCAGCTCTTCTGGTCAGCTGGCAACACTATTCTCAAAGCCTTATTCTTTCTTTTTCTTTTTCTTTTCTTTCTTTCCCAAACCGTCTGCATTCTATGTTGGACATAACACAGAAGCAGCTACACAGATCTGGCGCCTGCTATTTCTTACATCAGTGTTTCCTTCAGCAGTGGCTTTAAAACCCACCAACCTTTTGTGCAACTTCAAATCATCCAATAGGTCAGGCAGGGGACGGAAGTCAGGGGAACAATTTTTTTTAAAAAATAGTGCTGATTGCAGGAATCAGCTTAATGAAGATCAGTACTTGCATTTGAGAGAGAAGTTTCTAATCCTTATGATTGAAAAGATAATCACTGGGGTAATGACATATATGGGTGTGAAGGCTGAACAGTTAAGAAAGCTAACAGGGGAAAAAATATCACTCATTTGAAATGCAGTGCTGGAGGAGAGCTTTGCAGATGCGATGGGCCCGCCAGAAAGACAAAGAAGTGGGTCCTGGATCCAATCAAGCCTGAACTATCTCTGGAGGCAAAAAATGATGAAACTGAGGTTGTCCTACTTCAGAGACCTGTGGTCGAAAGCCTGCAATGGCTGGGTCCCCAGGTTTGGCTAGGAGAGCGGCTCGTATGGAGGTCTCACTCCCTGTCTTGCTGAATGTTGCTAAGCTGGATCCAGGCCATAGCATTAATTCCGAGAGGACAATGGCAAGCAACTCTAGATGCCATGACAGAAAATGCTGGGGGGGGGGGCTGAGCTCAGAGAGAAAGAAAGAGAGAGAGAGAGAGAATCTAAGGGAAGAGGTGAGAATGGCATGAAGTCTATAACCTTTTATTACAAATCCATCTAACAGAAATCCAGAGAAAAATGAGCTGATGGTCTAAAATAAGCTTTCCACAACGTTAAAGAAGGCCAAATTAACTCAACCAGGGCTACAGGAGCAGCTTTTAATTTCCACAGAACAGGCCTTCGACTGGAGAGAAGAAAGCTGGGTTTTGTTCGCTGCATAAATTTCATGGGTGAGTGCCCACCCAATGCTTTGTAATAACTGCGGCTCCCTGGGGACAAAAGGGGACAGACACAGTCGGTCATTGTGTACCCCCTTGTTGGTAGCCCTTTTGCTCCCACGGCGTTGGAGGCTCCCTCAGCCTGGAAGATGCAGAATAAAACATCCCGGCGTCCATGCCAGGTTGGGGGAGAAGAGGCAGCCCGAAAGGAAGGACGGATCAGAGCAGGAAGAGGGGTGGAAGGGAGAGGGGACACAACCTAGCCGTCTGAAAAAGCGCCATTTGTCTCTTTCAGGGGTAAGGGTTTCGCCACCATAGCCGAGTCCCTGACGGCGGATGGTTCAACAGAATTTTGCAAAACTGTTGTATTATAAAACAGAGAATTCAGAGGACTAGAGGAGATGTTTTTATTCAAATAGAAGCTGTTAGTATTATTTTGGCAAATAGGAAATTCTCACTCTAAAATCTAAAGGATTAGGTAACATACATATTAGATAAACCTTCCCCCACCCTGATATGCTTCTATCCGTCCCAAGCCCTAGATGTTGCTTCTTGAATTCTATGAAGATTCATTGAGGAATGAGGACTTGAGTCATGAGGTCTTGCTGTCAAGCTGGATGTAAGTCTGATTCAACTTGGACTTGACTTGGCTCCCCCCCCCCCAATGACTTGATTCAACTCACAATTTGGAAATCACCCACCCTCTCCCTTTTTTTCTGGGGGAAAAAGCGGGTTTTTACTAGGGACTCAAAGTTTGGGTTGCGCCTTGGTACCAAAGACTCAGATTTGGGCCTCAGACCCCATGACTTGCCAATGCCCCCAGATTCATTAACTGTCACTGTTGTTACAGGAACTGCCTAGGTCATCATCATCATTGTCCTTTTGTGTTGATCTCATGAATTATATATTTTTAAAATGGACCTAGCATCAAGAGGTCAAAGGAGTAGGAGAGGTGCCTAGCTATCATTTCATTAAACACCCAGGTCCAAGCTTTAATTAAGTTTGACTCCCATAAAACATCTGATTGGCTAACAACGTAATGAAACGCTCCCACTAGAAGCTTAAGCACCTCACATGTTGGGTTGGCAATAGAGTTCTGTCATTCTCTAGCCCATCCTTTCCATGGGGCAAAGGGTGGAGACCAGTGCTGGAACCACAGCCCCACACAGCTGGTAATTAGGATACTGGAACAGAATGACATGGAGCAGATCTACTCGTTCAGCAAAAGCACATGGTAGAGACATGCCGCCACTAAACTATTTCAGAAGGCAAAGGGGGTGGTGCAGTCCTGCATTTGAATTGTCCTGCATTGAAGACTTGCTGCAGATAAAAGTTCAAACTTCCTACCCAACATTGACACTTGTCCAGGGTCAGGAGTTCTTGATACAGGAGAGGACTCAAATTATACAACCCTACGCTAGATTTTACTTTCTTGGGCTCCATGATCACTGCAGATGGTGACAGCAGCCATGAAATTAAAAGACGCCTGGTTCTTGGGAGGAAAGCGATGACAAACCTAGATAGCATCTTAAAAAGCAGAGACCTCACCTTGCCGACAAATGTTCGCATAGTCAAAGCTAAGGTTTTTCCAGTATGGAAGCTAGACCATAAAGAAGGCTGACCGCTGAAGAATTGATGCTTTTGAATTGTGGTGCTGGAGGAGACTCTTGAGAGTCCCCTGGACTGCAAAAAGATCAAACCTATCCGTTCTGAAGGAAATCAACCCTGAGTGCTCAATGGACGGACAGATCTTGAAGCTGAGGCTCCAATACTTTGGCCATCTCATGGAAAGAGAAGACTCCCTGGAAAAGACCCTAATGTTGGGAAAGGGTGAGGGCAAGAGGAGAAGGGGATGGCAGAGGACGAGATGGGTGGACAGTGTCATTGAAGCTACCAACATGAATTTGACCCAACTCCAGTGGGAGGCAGTGGAAGACAGGAGGGCCTGGCGTGCTCTGGTCCATGGGGTCACAAAGAGTCGGACATGACTTAGTGACTAAACAACAACAACACTTTTGTTCTGAAGGATAGTAGAGTCCCTCTTGACATATTTATAATAGGAGAGGCTGGAGACCAGGACTGGACCCTTTTGAAATGCAACTCACAGTATCTTAGTACTGATAGTCACCCTGGCTGCCATGTTGGGTGGGGAGATGGGATCCAAGTAAATTTGAACATAAATGCGCCTTGTTGGCACTTAAGCAAAGGCACACACAGAAAAGGAAGACACCAGAGAGCTGCAGTGCCACCCTAAAACAATAAATGATGGTCACAACTAACCATGGTTAACCGTTAATCAGAGCTAATGGAAACACGAACTTTTTTGGCTACAAGTCTCAGAACCCACCAGCCAGGATGGCCAGTAACATTTATCAAACTTTTGTCTTCTGTCTATACCAGGTCAACACAAACACTCTGTACGTTGTTGAATCATCTCTTTTAAGCTGTACACCAGCATCTTTTTGTGGAAAAGGTAAGGACAGGTTGCTTATCTGTAACCATGGCTCTTTGAGTGGCCATCTGTAGTCTTATGACTTTGGATGTGACCTTTTTAAAAAACCTTGATTATAATCAATCAAAGCAGATATATAACACTGTAGATTTTGTATCATTACTGAGCTCTATATTTTTGTCCACATTTACAGAAGGAAGAACCCCACTCTAAGCCACTGCAATGACTTGCTTCTATGGCCCTTTCATAGTTCTCTCCCTACCAAAAACTCAAGAATCAAACTGCATGGAATCTCTAAGTATCAGATAGATAGAATCTGTTGTTTCCATGTATCTACCAAAAATGCAAAATCCCCACAATATCACCTTACAGTAAGGCAAGCTATTGGTCCATCTACACCAGGGGCAGGCAACTGTGGGCCCCCAGATATATTTTAATTGCAACTCCCATAAACCCCATCATTGTCTCTCACTGGGTAAGATTCTTGGAAGTTGTAACCCAACATCAGCTTGACCAGTGTTCCCTCAGATGGGACCTTTCAAAAGCTCTGGACTATGATTAACTTAGTGATTTAGCTATCTGGAGTTTGATTCCCCCACTTGTACCTCCAGGGAGGAAAAGCCAGCCTGGGTGGCCTTGGGCAAGCTGCATACAGTCCCAGGGCTCCCCCTAGAGGAAGGGAAGGGTACACCACTTCTGAGTATTCTCTATGTGGAACATCCTGGAAATGGTCAGAATTGACTTGATAGCACACAAATATTGTTGTTGTTGTCGCTGTCACCACTGATGGTCACATCCTGGGATGACGGGAGCTGTAGTTGGAAGCATCTGTTGGGATCCAGAAATAGACGAACACTCCAACAAGCGGAAGTCTCAGGAAGAAGTGCTTCTCCATCTTTAATAAACGGACCTTTTAATTCCAGAATTCATATTGACTTTCCACATGGAAAGCAGAAGGTCTTACCACTGCTAGTGGCCCTTCCCACCTTCTCTGCATCCCTCTTCCATGCCAACAAACCTGTCTATAGAACCTTTGCCTTCTCACCTGGTTGACTGAGATGGGGGTCTGCACCACCACCCCACCGATGATCTCGGTCCTGTAGGGATGTTTCCCCACCTCTGTCGTTAAGGGCAAACTTCCACCCTTCGGCACCTAGGATTAAAAATAAGATGTGTTATGCTCGGCGCATAGAACCCAGGAGGTGCCTCCTGAAAACCTGCCAGGGTCTTCATATAAGAGAGAGATTTCTTCTATATGCCTCTGACACCAACTTCCACCTAGAGTATTCAGATGCTACTCAGAGAACTGGCACAGAAACTGGCAGAAGACATTTGTGCAGCATCTATCGAAGACTTCACCCTGGCCACCAGGTGCTCCAGGGTGAGATGTTTTAAGAAATGTCATAAGGCGAGCAATGCATAAGAATGCTGACAGTCTCGCCCAGCATGGGGGGAAAAATGGATGGAATGTTTCTCACTTGTGAGAATGAAATAAATGGGGGCTTGCATCCATTGTCCAGAGCATTGCACTTTGCCCACCTCTACGTTATACCCCCCCAAAACATCAGTGGGAATAGTTTACTTCAACAGCCCTCCGTTCAGTGGGAATGCCTTCCTGGATCTGTTGTCTTGAAATAAACTGGTGGACAACGCTGTCTGGGGATGATGGGAATTGTCATCCAATAGAAATGGTGTTGCTGCTGTCTAAAACACCATTGGAGAAGGCTGATGTAGAACACGCCTTCAATTAACGGAGATGCCCACTGATGAGTACCAGACAGGTTCATGGGTTTGCTTTGATCCTTGCTTTTGCCTGTGGAAAGACAGCAAAGATGGCGCCAGCTGGACCTCCAGTGGGAACGAGTTCCAGAGTCTTAGAGCAGTGACAGAGAAGGCTCTCTCTTGTGTCCCCACCAAACACATCTGTGAAGGCAGTGGGATTGAGAGAAAGGCCACCCCTGATGATCTTAACACTTGAGCAGGGTCATAAAGAGAGACATAGTCCTTGAGATAGCTCGGGCCCAAGCCACTTCGGCTTCTTACCTGTCAAGAATTTAAGTCTAGACCATTTCTACCATCACAGACTATTTTCATATCTTGCTTAGAGGCAGTGTTGTAAATCCCACTCATCAGGAACCAGCCCAAAGGCTTACATAAACTTAGGACGTTATCCTGGGGTTCACCTTCTGTATGTCAGTGTAATGTTCAGTGTCAGATTCAATAAATAAAGCCAACAAATATCAGGTCAGACTTTTCTGCCAGGAACCAGGATCTGAGGAGGCACGCTAGAGATCGCTTTCAACCTGAGGTAACCTTTAGGGTCTGTGAGATGGACGAGAGCCTTTAATGTCTGAATATTGCCACTGGTGGGACTAATCCTGATGGCAAAATTTGTTGGAGATTAAAGTCTTTTGCAGATGGAAAGGGAGCCTTGGAATCTGGGGGCGCAAGGTAGGGCATTTTTAATTGTCATCAGATTTACAGGTACAAAGAACTGGGCATGTGTCACCTTAAGGAAAGAAGACTGAGGGGAGATAGCAGGATGGCACTCTTCAAATCCTTGACAGGCTGTCATGCAGAGGAGGGGCAGGATCTGTCCCGGATCATCGCAGAGTGCAGGGCACACAATAATGGGCTCTAGCTACAGGAAGCCAGATTTAGGATGAACATCAGGAAAAACTTCTTCACTGTTAGAGCAGTACAACAACAACAATAACGTCTGAACTGCAGGTTTGAAAGGCACCCTATGGATCGGCGAGTCCAGCCCCTCTCAAGGAGACCAAATGAACTCCCAACCTCTAGCTTCATGGCCAGAGACCTACGCCACTTAATTATCCAGTAATTCTTGAACCAATTACCTCAAGAGATAGTGAACACACCAACGCTCCAAGAGAAAATGGGACAATCCTCGGTCAGATCTGCTTCAATTTGGATTCCTGCCCTGAGCAGGGGGTTGGAGGGGGAGATAGCAGGATGACACTCTTCAAATCCTTGAGAGGCTCTCATGCAGAGGAGGGGCAGGATCTGTCCCCGATCATCCCAGAGTGCAGGACACACAATAATGGGCTCAAGCTACAGGAAGCCAGATTTAGGATGAACATCAGGAAAAACGTCTTCACTGTTAGAGCGTACAACAACAGCAATAACGTCTGAACTGCAGGTTTGGAAGGGACCCTATGGATTGTCGAGTCCAGCACCTCTCAAGGAGGCCAAATGAACTCCCAACCTCTAGCTTCGTGGCCAGAGACCTAAGCCACTTAATTATCCAGTAATTCTTGAACCAATTACCTCAAGAGATAGTGAACACACCAACGCTCCAGGAGAAAATGGGACAATCCTCAGTCAGATCTGCTTCAATTTGGATTCCTGCCCTGAGCAGGGGGTTGGACTTGATGGCCATACAGCCCCATTCCAACTCAACTATTCTATGGTTCACATGGAGTGACACAAACAGGATTTCAGCTGTTAATTCTCAGGGACTAGAGCCTTTGGTTTTCTGAAGCACATTATCCCCGCCTTCTCTGGAGAAGCTGCCCGGACAGTCCTTAAGCCGTAATTTGCAAAAGATACTGTCAGTACTAATGACCCAACGATTAACTGGCCACCTCCCTTTGTTCCTTTCCAAACACCTCCTCCACAAAAGGGCGTGCTGATGCTCAGCCATCCAGCAACAAGACAGAGCGACACCACCTGCGATCAGAGATGGAAACATCTCACACCTTTGGGCATCCATCAGCACTTCTCTCCTGGCAAAACACAGAAGCCGGATTCACCTCAGGTTCCGGTTGAAAATGGCTCAGAGCAGAGAGCCTTTCTTGAATCTCATCCACCAAAGAGCGGCTCTTTGTGTCTTCAGCTTCAAATCCTGG